GTGAACAGCAAAAACTGGCACTAAACAATGCCTAGTAGCATGTCTCACCTCAAACATGTTCAATCGTTTGCACAGTAAACACAGGATGCAACATCCCTCCCAAACCTGATCAGACAATGGTTTAAATACCCAAGTTTCCAAACACTAGTGGGACGAACCATTGTCACGGGGTGGAACCTTTCCCCGTAACACCCACTGAATTCCACAGCAAAACATTGGCACATAAATATAACTAATGTTCAAGAACTCATTTCTGACTTACAATAATCATATTACAAACATGCATTACATACAACCACAAACTCAAACATTTAACACCTCATAGCACTCATGTCTCTCTCCATCTTGAAACATGGTACGTTCTGGTTATGCGCACTACCAGAACCCACCTCCAAAACACAGGCTCAGACGATAAGATCTAACATGTGCTATAATATGCAAATGTATACAATAAAGAAATAATTTAAAACAAACAATGGCTCTCTATCAACCGTCAAAACATTAACACGTTGAACACTTAATGTTGGAATTGTCCATCCACATATACATTGTCAACATACAATGTATGCATACTAAACTTTTCCTGCAATCAGCACACCAAGTAAATTCAAAATAGCACTAGGCTGGCACTCTAGTGATGATGTCATTGACCTGGTTCATCATTACATACCCCCCCCCCCCCCCCCCCCCCCCCCCCCCCCCCTCCCCCATCAAGACAGCCACTCTTCAAGAGAGGTATGACAAAAAGTCTGCAATAACGTTCAATGTTCCAGCCCTATATTGGACTTTGAACTTAAAAGGTTGGAGGGAAAGATACCACCATGTAATTCTTGCATTACTGTCTCTCATTTTATTGATCCATTGCAAAGCCCTATGATCAAGTCTTTGCCAATCAAATAATATTTTTAAGTGTCCAGGGCCCATTCAAGCCTAGTTCACACTACATGATTTTAAAACGTCGGGGTGAACTGTGCGGTACACACAGTGGCGCAAAAAGTGGGTATGCGCTATATGCGGCGCATAGGGGCGCAGCACCATGGGGGGCGCCAAAGCGATGGTAAAAAAAAAAAAAAAAAAATTTAAAATTTAATTTAAAAAAAGATATATATATTGTATTTTCTATATGTAGCTGCTGTTGTGCGTTTCTAAATCATTTTTGCATTTCTTCAATGTTATATAAAATTTTAGAGGACTAACAGGCTAGAGTAGGCGCCCTCATGGAGAAGGGGGGCGGGGTAATACCGCGAGCGGGCGGGGGCGCCGTGACCGCTGAGCGAGCAGGTACGAGTAGCCTAGTGAGTTGTCGTCGATGGATAAAACAAAATGCTGGGGGGCTAAAAATAAAAAAAAGAAAGAGGGAAAAGGAGATGGCATGTCAATTGATGCGACAGCAGCTAAATCCCCTCTAAATCCCTGCATACCCCTCTGACACTGGGTAGTTGCTCGATCACCCTTTCTAGCTGGACTCACCAGCTGACACTCTGGACAAGACTTACAAAAATCCATTACGTCCATATACAGTCTGGGGCAATACAATCTACTAGCAATTCTGGCTAGCGTTTTCTGCTGGCCTAAATGCCCTGCCCACGGTACAAAATGACCTAACTAGAATACCTTCAGTCTCATGGATTTCTCATAGTTTTAGGACCCCCACCAAAAGGCAAATCTTCCAGCAGCTGTTTACAGGTGCTTATGCTTAGCCTGGGCTCTTGTTACCACCCTAGCTTCAGCTATCTCACTGTCATTCTGCAAAAGATCTACAAGCACGGGTACATCTCTACCTAAAATAACTGGATAGGGCGCCTGGTCCATTACCCCAACTGACAGATAATAAGCCTGGCCATTTATTTGAATTACCACATCAGTTTTGGGTTATTCTTTTTCCATCACCATGAATACAGCCAACTCTCAATTTGTCCTGCATCAGTGCGTTACCTTCACCCAAACATTCAGTCCTTACTAACGTTTGGCTTGAACCAGTGTCAACTAGAGCTTTAAAGAATTTAGTCCCCATCTTTACCTCAATTACAGTGTCTGTATTCGACTCAACCTCATTTAACCCCGGAGAAGATCTTGGTACATAACAACCCAGCTGGCATTCGACTGTAAACGTTTAAATGTGGTTGAACTAATGTCGGTTTATGAAAAAACATTAATTCAACGTTAAAACAACGTTGAACACCAAATAGTTGAAGTTGTGTTGTTGACTCACTACGGATTCAACATAGAAATATAAAAAAATTGAGTTGTACGTCAAATCAACATTATTTTTACAACCATGACTTTTAAACATTTTGTTGAAATATATCAGTAGAAAAATAACGTTGTTCCAAAATCCAATTTGCAATCTGATTTGCAAAATCTAAACAAAATTTAACGGTTATCCAACACTGGCACCTGACGTTGATTCAACAGTGACTTGACGTTAAAATGCCAGCTGGGAAAGGCGGGTATTAGTAACTTTCTGTAAAGGGCAATCTGCTTTCTTATGCCCTGGCTGGCCACATCCATGACAAACAATCACAGCTTTACCCTTATAGTGATTAACTACCCCCTGATGTTTACTATTGTTCGTACCAGAACTGATCTGTGATACACCGGTATTAGAACCAAAATTGCTCAAACCACTACCCCAACCATTCCTAGATTTACCGGTTGAGCTGTTGTTATAGCTCCGCCATCGTCTTGGTTGATCAGGGGCGGAGTGGGACCAAAAAATCTACCGGGACATTTCGTAGACCACCGGCCCTCGTCGCCGGCAGGGGCGGATTAAGAGTTCAGAGGCCCCTGGGCACAATGTCTTGTAGGTCCCCTCTTAGGCAGGCCAAATGTATATTTTGTCCAGGGACATTTTAATATGGCATTTGCAGTTTTACTGACTTAAAAGGAACTTTGTTGTACTATGCTGGAGTAAAGTTCATGGTGGTTCTTTCACATAGGATTTTGTAAAACTATGTTAGGTGGACCTCTGTCCCTCTAGGGGTGTTCGGGGGCATGCTCCCCGCAATAAAATGTTGTACATTTTAAGGTTAAATGCATCAATCTGGTGCTCTTTGAGAGGTCAAAATTAAGAGCTTCAACCCATGAACTGCTCATTGAACAAAGAAAAAGCATTGACTGGTCTCAAACATCTTTTTAGTTATGAGAGTCTCAGTCTACATTACATTATGCCAAACAATTATTATAATAATGTAATAATGATTTATATAATTATTCCTATGACGTAAAATCCATATAGCCTATAAATGTAGGCTACTGTATAAATGAAAATGAATATTTCAAAAGTATATTTTAGCCTACTACAGTAGTATAGGAAAATTAAAATACTTTTGTCCTAATTTCTTCACTTGCAAGAAATAAACCCTTGAGCTTTTATTTTGGAGAAAACGCCAGATCACCATGCTGATCGCGTGAGCAAAGAGCGCACTTTTCTTTCAATCACTCAGCACAAACAGAATGCCCATATACTTAATTAAAGTCTTGTGCTGTTTTATAAAGGCACAAAGCCATATCATGGTTTCGATTTTAGTTCGTTGGCAAAATATAACGCTAGAGACCTTTATGGTATAGGCGGTACATTTTACATCTCATATGTGTTGGGAAAAGGGAGAAGAAGGTTCGGCAAAAGGCGGATTCGACTCTCCCGATTGCCACTCCGCTACTGTGGTTGATACACTGATCGTCTTGCAGCCATAAAGGTCTCTGCCATCTCTGCTGCTTGTTTAGATGAGGTAGGGTTATTCTGTCTCACCCATGCTCTTGTCTCTGGGTTTAGTAACTTGAACTGTTCTAACACTATCTGGTCACCGATCTCCTCCTTCGTTCGACTCTTAGGATTCATCCACTTCTCATACAAGTCTCTTAGTCTTACTTGCAGCTCTCTTGGAGTCTCATCTTCTTGGGCACTGTATGATCTGAAGCGTTGTCTATATACATTTCAACATTGATTTCAAACTTGTCAAGAATGGCCTGTTTGACAGTCATAGTTTAGTGAGTTGTCAGGCTCCATGGCCATATAAGCTGCCCTCGTCTTACCAGATAAGAGCGGTAACAAATGCAACACCCAGTCTTGGCTTGGCCATCTGCACGCTTGAGCGATGCGTTCAAAAGTTGTTAGATGGTACTCTATTTCCTCATCATGAGTCCAAGGAAGCATTCTCGGAGTTTGGAAACATGGCATTGCAGGACCTTGTCCCTCAGTTGGAATCTCACTTGCTGAAGCAGAGTCATCATCCTGTAAGGGCTGTCGAGCTGAACGAATGGTTGAAGGCCGATGCACAGCTGTACCTGCTGATGTCGTTGCTGCCAATGACTGTCGTTGTTGTAGGACTTGATGAACTTCAGACTGCAGCTGTGTAAACTGATGGTGAAGCACCTGCCATTTATGCTCTTGGTGCTGCGCCTCTCTTTCCAAGCGTTCCTCTCTTTGATGTTGCTTACGAAAAAACGTTTGCAGCATATCCATTAGCTGGTCCGTTGTACTCCCAGTCTGAATCATTTTATAGAATCGATTCGCTCGGGCAGTTTATTTCAATGAACCGTTCTGAAACTGATTCACCTATTGTGCATCACTCACTATGTGTGCGCGGTATTATATGAATCATTTTGCATTTTAGATTCTTACATTTTAAATTCTGCTGTTTGTCACAGTGTTTTAAACTACGTTGTATAGATTGCTGTGAAATTTATGATGTTTATGCTTTTCTATCACTGTCAAATTGTCCTCTCAAGGTGATACAAACACTTTGAAGTAGTTCCAGTGAATCACCAAAAATAACAAGTTAAAAAAAAAGATTTTAACATATTAAGTGGCAAAGTCTTGCCTGTTACATTTTAAATTTAAATCAAACACAAAACAGCCGTAAATAATGCACAAGTAAGCATAATTCAATAGATATGCTAGAATGAAATTTCAAATAAGTTATGTGAGGTATAAATTTACTTTTGGTGAGTTGACCTTAACTCAAATTATTTTGAATCTTGATGTTTGTTTCAGAGCACCAGCATTTAAGGTACAATCCTCTGCGGGACTCATGGGTTCTGGTCTCGGCCCATCGGATGAAGCGTCCATGGAAAGGACAGGTGGAGAAACCGCCATTGGACACCATCCCACGACATGACCCCAACAACCCTCTCTGTCCTGGCAGTGTGAGAGCTAATGGAGAGGTGAGCAACTCGCTGTCTTCCATGGTCTAGTTTCATCCCATTTCTTCAACTGATAGGATTTTTTTTTTTTACACTTTTTATTTCTTATTTCAAAGCTTTCTTAAATGGATAGTTCACCCAAAAATGAAAATTCTGTGATTAATTACTCACCCTCATGTCGTTCCAAACCCGTAAAACTTTCGTTCATCTTCAGAACACAAATGAAAATCTTTTTGATAAAATCTGAGAAATTCCACTGATAGCTACGAAACTACCACTTCTGAAGAGACTCGATCGCTTTATATGATGAACAGATTGAATTTAGGCTTTTATTCACATCTAAACATTCATCAACTCGCACATATCAGTTATGGTAAATGGAATTCTCGTGTTACGCAGCATGTTTGAGCTTCATCCAGAACCAATGAGGTTCATTCTCGTGTTATGCAGCACCTCTGGATCTCTGCAACTGATCCAGAATGCTGCAGCCAGAGTGGTCTTTAATGAGCCAAAGAGAGCACACGTCACTCCTCTGCTCACAAAATTGCACTGGTTGCCAGTTGCCGCTCGCATTAAATTCAAGTCACTGACGTTTGCCTACAGATCAACCACTGGCACTGCTCCCTTTTACCTAAACTCACTACTTCAGACTTATGTGCCATCCAGAAACTTGCGCTCTACAAGCGAATGTCGTCTTGTGGTACCATCTCAAAGAAGCACAAAATCTCTTTCTCTGATCTGTACCATGGAATGATCTGCCCAACTCAACCAGAGCTGCTGAGTCAGTAGCCACTTTCAAGAAACGGCTGAAGACACATCTTTTTCGGCAGCACTTGATCCAGTTACACTAACACTTTCTTTTCTATTCTATAAAAAACAAATTCATGGACTGCGTTAGATGAAACTGAGAGGGGACATAGCACTTGCATATTGTTGTCCTACTGTTAGTTTCACTGCTTCTATTGTTCTCATTTGTAAGTCGCATTGGATAAAAGCGTCTGCTAAATGAATAAATGTAAATGTAAATGTGTTACGCTTCACGTTTGAGCTTCAGCGAGAACCAATGAGGTTCTTTCTCGTGTTACGCTTCACGTTTGAGCTTCTGCAAGAACCAATGAGGTTCATTCTTGGGTTACGCAGCACTTTTGAGCTTCCGCAAGAGGTTTGTTCTCTCTTGTCAAGCAGGTTCGGTTGAGCTTCTGTTTATGTTCGCTGAACAATGTTTATATGTCAATAAAAGACTAAATTAAATATCTTCATCATGTAAAGCAATCAAGTCTCTATATGGAAAATTTTTACGATCTCTTTATGAACTCGTTTAAGCGTCTAAGTAGTTGTAGTGTCAATGGAGGGACAGAAAGCTCTCAGATTTCATCAAAAAAGATCTTCATTGTGTTACCAAGATGAATAAAAGTCTTACGGGTTTGGAGCGACACGGGGGTGATTAATTAATCACAGAATTTTCATTGTTCTTGATACCTCTGGCTCAGCCTGGAGCATTATGGGTGCTTTTTTTACGAACACAGATAAAACCATCTTGTCTGTGGAAAGTGATGTGTCTGCAGTCATTATACAGCGTTCTTCTCTGACTAAACAGAAACAAACGTTGATATCCTTTCCTTGAATGTACGTTTCTGCCGTCTCTCCGTCGGCTTGTTTGAGTTATATGCCAATGAATATTCAGTGGCACTGTTTTTTTAGCGCTCTCTTAAGCTTGACAAATGTTCTTGGCTGACTCTCTCATTCCTGGATATTATTATTTAATGATTAATTAAAATACAGAATGTTGCCAGGCTACTTTACAATCGGACAAGATGTTGAACATGCACTCTTGAACTCTTTGGCACTATTTTATGTTATTGCTTCATTCAGATATACATTTGGCTGGAAGCAGCTTGTCTACTCAAATATGTCAACCTGAGGAAGATGTTTTATCCACCAGTCTTTGATTAAACACAGGCTACACCAGTCATGTGATATTTTCCTCTGTTCTATTTCAGGTGAATCCTGATTATGACAGCACGTTCATGTTTGAAAATGATTTCCCTGCTCTCCAGCCTGACGCTCCAGACCCCGGTATGATCCTCTGTCACATTCACTGCCATAAGACTCAATTACACACTTTCTGCTGTTTATGTACTAGTTTTTTACTGGATATTATTTGGATCTACTAACATAAATGTAACACATAATTTTTTGGACCTGTTACATGGTAATGGAAAACCTGGATAGTTGTAATTGTGGTAATAATTTAGTACCATGTTTACTTTACCATTTAAAAGTTTGAAGACAGTAAGATTATTTTTAATGAAATGAATACTTTTATTCAGCTAGGATGCATTAAACTGATTAAAAGTGACATTAAATGCATTTATAATATTAAATAATATTATAATATCAAATAAATGTTTTTCTTTTGAACTTGTTAATGGTTTACACAAAAAAGTGAAGCAGCACAACTGTTTTTAACGTTGATAATAATCATAAATGTTTCTTGAGCATCAAATCATCATATCAGAATGATTTCTGAAGGACCATGTGACACTGAAGACTGGAGTAATGATGCTGAAAATTAAGCTATGATTACAGGAGGAATAAACTACATTTTACTATATATTCACATAGAAAACAGCTATTTTAAATTGTAATAATATTTCACAATATTTCTGTTTTTACTGTATGTTTGATCAAATAAATGCAGCCTTGTTGAGCAGAAGGTTTCATAAGTAATAATATTAATAATAAAAAAACGTACAAATCCCAACATTTTGAACAGCAGTGTATATCAAAGTACCATGTTTTTATGATCTGATACAGTATTATGGTACAGCTACAGTACTTTCGGCCGTTATAATAAAAGCAGTTAATGTTCCTGCAAAGTTTCATTGTAAAACTTTTAATGTGCAATTATAGGCTGTACGTTAATAGAGTTCATTCCAGCATATTAACAATTTGCTGATAATTTGTATTACTGGTTCTAGGTTCAGATCATCACCCACTTTTCCAAAGCAAAGCAGCCAGAGGCATTTGGTGAGAACAGTTTATTTCTTCTCCTTAAGAACTAAACTTACTAATTAGTATTGTTGGTTAAGTTAAACATCACTATTAACAACAACAACAAAACCTTTAAGTGCCCCATTATGCTATTTTAAAGGTTCCTTATTTTTTTCCGGAGTCTCCTACAATAGGGTCAACATGCCATGAGTTATATATTACCCAGGTATTGCAATTACTATAAGTACATAAATATGTTCATGTGAAACAGGACTGTAAAATAAAGTACTATCATACTGTTATGGAACAGGGACCCGGAGACAGAAGGGCAAGTGAAAGTGTTTAATGGCAGCAGTGAGCAGACAAACAATTAAATGGTAAACACAAGGTTGAGGAGAGCTCAGGACACAGACGCTGGAGAGGATCGCTGAAGGAGGATGTAGGAGATGGTTGCTGGAGACATACGGGAGATAAAAGGTCTTGGAGGTTTCACACACATAGGTAAAACGAGACTAGACAAAGCAGTGCTGTGGATGAGGTGACTATATGGTGCTGGTGATTAGCTGTGCTGAGTGCAGGCAGGTGGTGGTGACAGGTGATGGTGATTAGTATTCGGGTGATGGCTGATGGTGTGCAGGTGTGGGTCAAGAAGGATGCTGGGAAATGTAGTGAGGAGGAGGGGACTAGATGGTGACAGTACCCAGATGGTGACAGTACCCAGATGGTGACAGTGACACCTCCCGGTAGGTGCGTCCTCGCGCCGTAGATGGTGCAACCAGGGAGGGGGGGCGGGCATCCTGGAGTCCTTATCCGGAGGGTGTGTGGACTCCAGGGCGGTGCAGGCTGTACCGGCGGCCAGGAAGGAGCAGGCCGCCAGGGCGGAGCCGGCAGTTCAGGGGACCAGGGCGGAGCAGGCGACCACGGAGACGCGGAGACGACGGCCCTTCGTGAGGCCACGGCGGAGACGTATAGCCCCTACCCCCCAAAAAAAAAATTCTTGGGGGGAGCTATGGGCTCAGGCTCGGGAACAGAAGGCTCGGGAACAGAAGGCTCAGGCTCGGGAACAGAAGGCTCAGGCTCGGGAACAGAAGGCTCGGGAACAGAAGGCTCAGGCTCGGGAACAGAAGGCTCAGGCTCAGGAACAGAAGGCTCAGGCTCGGGAACAGAAGGCTCAGGCTCGGGAACAGAAGGCTCAGGCTCGGGAACAGAAGGCTCAGGCTCGGGAACAGAAGGCTCAGGCTCGGGAACAGAAGGCTCAGGCTCGGGAACAGAAGGCTCAGGCTCGGGAACAGAAGGCTCAGGCTCGGGAACAGAAGGCTCAGGCTCGGGAACAGAAGGCTCAGGCTCGGGAACAGAAGGCTCAGGCTCGGGAACAGAAGGCTCAGGCTCGGGAACAGAAGGCTCAGGCTCGGGAACAGAAGGCTCAGGCTCGGGAACAGAAGGCTCAGGAACAGAAGGCTCAGGCTCGGGAACAGAAGGCTCAGGCTCGGGAACAGAAGGCTCAGGCTTGGGAACAGAAGGCTCAGGCTCGGGAACAGAAGGCTCAGGCTCGGGAACAGAAGGCTCAGGAACAGAAGGCTCAGGCTCAGGAACAGAAGGCTCAGGCTCGGGAACAGAAGGCTCAGGCTCGGGAACAGAAGGCTCAGGAACAGAAGGCTCAGGCTCGGGAACAGAAGGCTCAGGCTCGGGAACAGAAGGCTCAGGCTCGGGAACAGAAGGCTCAGGCTCGGGAACAGAAGGCTCAGGCTCGGGAACAGAAGGCTCAGGCTCGGGAACAGAAGGCTCAGGCTCGGGAACAGAAGGCTCAGGCTCGGGAACAGAAGGCTCAGGCTCGGGAACAGAAGGCTCAGGCTCGGGAACAGAAGGCTCAGGCTCGGGAACAGAAGGCTCAAGCTCGGGAACAGAAGGCTCAGGAACAGAAGGCTCAGGCTCGGGAACAGAAGGCTCAGGCTCGGGAACAGAAGGCTCAGGCTTGGGAACAGAAGGCTCAGGCTCGGGAACAGAAGGCTCAGGCTCGGGAACAGAAGGCTCAGGAACAGAAGGCTCAGGCTCAGGAACAGAAGGCTCAGGCTCGGGAACAGAAGGCTCAGGCTCGGGAACAGAAGGCTCAGGAACAGAAGGCTCAGGCTCGGGAACAGAAGGCTCAGGCTCGGGAACAGAAGGCTCAGGCTTGGGAACAGAAGGCTCAGGCTCGGGAACAGAAGGCTCAGGAACAGAAGGCTCAGGCTCAGGAACAGAAGGCTCAGGCTCGGGAACAGAAGGCTCAGGCTCGGGAACAGAAGGCTCAGGAACAGAAGGCTCAGGCTCGGGAACAGAAGGCTCAGGCTCGGGAACAGAAGGCTCAGGCTCGGGAACAGAAGGCTCAGGCTCGGGAACAGAAGGCTCAGGCTCGGGAACAGAAGGCTCAGGCTCGGGAACAGAAGGCTCAGGCTTGGGAACAGAAGGCTCAGGCTCGGGAACAGAAGGCTCAGGAACAGAAGGCTCAGGCTCAGGAACAGAAGGCTCAGGCTCGGGAACAGAAGGCTCAGGCTCGGGAACAGAAGGCTCAGGAACAGAAGGCTCAGGCTCGGGAACAGAAGGCTCAGGCTCGGGAACAGAAGGCTCAGGCTCGGGAACAGAAGGCTCAGGCTCGGGAACAGAAGGCTCAGGCTCGGGAACAGAAGGCTCAGGCTTGGGAACAGAAGGCTCAGGCTTGGGAACAGAAGGCTCAGGCTCGGGAACAGAAGGCTCAGGCTCGGGAACAGAAGGCTCAGGCTCGGGAACAGAAGGCTCAGGCTCAGGAACAGAAGGCTCAGGCTCGGGAACAGAAGGCTCAGGCTCGGGAACAGAAGGCTCAGGAACAGAAGGCTCAGGCTCGGGAACAGAAGGCTCAGGCTCGGGAACAGAAGGCTCAGGAACAGAAGGCTCAGGCTCGGGAACAGAAGGCTCAGGCTCTTTTGCGGCAGGCACGACGTGAACAGTCTCTTGTGCGGCAGGACCGACGTGAAGCCCAGGCTCGGCAGGACCGACGTGAAGCCCAGGCTCGGCAGGACCGACGTGAAGCCCAGGCTCGGCAGGACCGACGTGAAGCCCAGGCCGAACAGGCATGACGTGGAGAGAATCAGGAGTGGGTGTGGTGGCCACCATTCTGGCCAATTTCACTGACATGAGCGGTGGTTCTGTCACGCTGGACATCAGGCCGGGACGCCCAGAGATCGATCCGGTGATAGGCCTGATGGCTGGCATGACGTGAAGATCAGATTGGTCAGGCATGACGTGAAGATTGGGCTGGTCAGGCGTGACGTGAAGATGCTCAGGGGAGATCGGGGACTACTTCCTCGACGGTGTAGGAGGATCCACTCGACCACAGAATGAAATCAATGTACCTTTCTAGGGAACACGTGGTGGCAACAGCTGGTACTTGCTGGAAGAGTGGATCATCCAAACCGCACCATAAGATGGTCTTAAGTGCCCCATCATTCCATGGCACCAGATTCGCCAGGTCGAGGAACTCCTCGATATAGTCCTCGATGGGGCGGTAATCCTGGGTGATGGTGAGGAGTAGGTCAGAAGGATCTTGTTGGTCGGGGTGGATGCCCATCGTGCCGCAGTCAGTCTAGGTCTAGTCTTCTGTTATGGAACAGGGACCCGGAGACAGAAGGGCAGGTGAAAATGGCAGCAGTGAGCAGACAAACAGTTAAATGGTAAACACAAGGTTGAGGAGAGCACAGGACACAGACGCTGGACGTAGGAGATGGTCGCTGAAGATAAAAGGTCTTGGAGGTTTCACACACATAGGTAAAACGAGACTAGACAAAGCAGTGCTGTGGATGAGGTGACTATATGGTGCTGGTGATTAGCTGTGCTGAGTGCAGGCAGGTGGTGGTGATGGTGAATAGTATTCGGGTGATAGCTGATGGTGTGCAGGTGTGGGTCAAGGAGGATGCTGGGAAATGTAGTGAGGAGGAGGATACTAAATAGTGACTGTGACACATATGTTTAAATAATGAAATAATATACCTGTATTTATAAATGAAATGTTAAATAAGCAAATAAATACATACATTTTATTTATTATGATTAAAATAAAATACGTACATTTATAAATAAAAAGTTCACCCCAAAATTAAAATTCTGTCAGTAATTACTCACCCTCATGTTGTTCCAACCCCGTAAGACTTTCGTTCATCTTCGGAACACAAATTAAGATATTTTTTTATTAAATTTGAGAGCTGGATCACTCCTCAATAGGCTTCTAAGGGATCGAAACTGGCCGGCCCAGAAAAGTTAAAGACATCGTTAAAATAATCCAAGTGACTACAGTGGCTCTAGTTTATCAAGTGACAAGAATACTTTTTGTGCGCAAAAAACAAAAAAAACAAAAAAATAATGACTTTATTCAACTATTCATTTCCTTCTCTGTGGGCCTCGAGATAGTTCACGTAGTTTAACTGCACCACGCTTCTGTGACGTACAACCTAGAAGCGCTGCGCAGTTACACTACGTGAAATCTCGAGAGTAGTCAATTATTACTCTTTCATTTTCCCTTTCAAAAAACTGGTTGGAAATCATGAGATTAATTACAAATATTTTATTCTGTTGACAGCCACAGACATATAAACATTTATAAATAAATAAATAATCATATATATATATATTTTACAGTATAGATGCCTTTATTTTCTGGCAAGGGGATCATAAAATGTAGGGGTCTGTAGTAGGGGTGGGCGATATCTCGATATTTAAAATATATCGAGATATTTTTTAAACACGATATGGATTTTGACATATCGTATATATCGATATATTGTTTATATTTAATCCTGATTTCGCCACTTTGCTTGTTTGCCTTCTCTGTGCTGTGCTCGCCCCCGCCTCCTTGCTTTTGTTCCCCCTCACCTCGCGTGTTGTCTCATTCAACAATTGTCTCATCCGCAACCAGCCCGGAGGCTACAGAACTCCGAGTGTGTCTGCGCGCGAGCGAGAGAGCACGAGAGAATCCGAGTGTGAGCATTAATTGCATTAGTAAATTGGTAGCCTACATACTACAATATATA